TCCACCCACGCAGCCTGGGACCCGCAGACCCTCTCGAAAACTCAGGCCCGCTATGCGGTGAGACGCGGGCCCAACCCGCAATGACCGACACACCCAGCGTCCTAAACACTCCCTACTCCCCAACACACATCCAGAGCCGGGACACAGAGCCAGGACACAAACACAGACACCCCCATACACACACCTCGCAACTGAAGCCAGGCACGTCCTGCAGGGCTCATGAACAACACAGCCAAGATGCGCAAATGCAGAGACATGCACAGAGCTTTGTGGGGACTTAAAACCTCTGACAAATCCTAAACTCAGGCTGGGCCAGGCCTTGAGCCTTGGGTGATACTTGAGGCCTCAGCCCTCAGACACCAGCCAGGTGTCTCACTGCATGCTCGCAAACACCTACATCTCTTCGTACTCTAAGCCCTTCCTGAAAGCAACCCCTTCCTGTGTGTACCCCCAAAGGTCCACCCCACCCCCCAGCCCCACCCTAGCCCCTACACAGCTTTGCCGCTCCAACCAGTCTTGCTGGATTTGATCAAACTGCCTCTTCCAAAATCAGTCATGCTGCAAAGCCACCTTGGACTGGGCTCTGTCCCTGTGGTGAGAGTGGGACCCCCACAAAGGCCCCAAACCCAGCCCTAGAGGAGCCCTCAGTCTGGGGAAGAAAAAGCCAAACACAGACACCCCCAGCCCTGTGGGCTTTGGGCTGGGCCAGAGGGAGGGACAGGGTCTGGGGAGGGCATACAGAGGGGCTGGTGAAGGCTCTGCCTGGGAGGGAGGGGCTTACTTATTCCTTCATTTATTCAGCAAGTAGGGAGAGAGCTCCAGCTCTATGTCTGGCTTTGTTCCAGGGACTGAAAGTACACCTTCCTCCCCCAGGGAGGGCTTCCCCCAGGAGGGTTCAGGGGGGCTCCGCCCAGAAGGATGAACTGGAAGAAAGACATCCCAGCAAAGGGACAGGTCTGCACCCAAAAGGAGGGGGCAGAGTCAAATAGGGAGGGAGAGTGGGCAGGTCAGGGGTCAGGCTGGCTCTGAGAAGGAGGAGGAGGAGAAAGAGGCCAGACTGATCCACAGGTATTTGGCTTGGTGATGAGACTGTGGGGAGGAGGAATCAACTGGGGGTGAGGTGCCAAGACCGAGGAGCCTGAGGGTCACCCACAATGCGGTTGAACACGAGCTGAGCACGGGGCCACCAAGGTGGGAGATAGTCACATGGGCACCTCAGAGATCTCTGGTCAATTTTTAAACATTTTATTTTGAAATAATTTAAACATAGAATAGTGCAATTCCCATATGCCATTTATTCAAATTCACCAATTCTGCCAAATTTGTCTTATAATTATGTACATATTTTTGAGAGCAATTTGCAGGCATGATGTTCCTTTGCCCCCAAATTCATCACTATGCGTTTCCTAAGATCAAGGGCATTCTCTTATCTAAGCATACCACAGTTTTCACCCTCTGTCCATATTCAAAGTTCTCCCATTGCCCCAGTAATACCCACTAAAGCATATTTCTTTGCTGGTCAGGATCTACCCGTCGACCACGTGCTACATTTGCTTGTTATGTCTCTTGAGGTCCTTTAATCTGCATCAGTTCCTCAGCCTTTCATTGTCGTTAGTGACACTGACAATTTTGGAGGGTCGAGGTCATTTGTTTTGTAGAACAGCCCTTAGCAGGCTGACCTGCTGGTTCCTCAGGACCAGGTTCAGGTTGTATGTCTCTGGCAGGAATTGCTGAAGTGATGCTGGTCCTCCCTGGTGCGTTGTGTCAGGAGGAACCTGATGTTAGTTCCCAACTGATGTTAACTGATGTTTAACTGCTGTTAAACTTTGATCACTCAAGAGAAGTCGGCTCAGTAAAGGTGTGGTAAAGGTACCATTCTCTTCCCCATCTCCCCTTGTAATGAA